GCGGCAATTCGGCGGGAGGTCCTTCGCTCCGAGCGGGAGTGAGGGACCGTCCGCTGAATAGCTGGACGTGCCGCCCCTCTCCAGAGCGGCTGCCCCAAGCACCTGCTTGCCAGGCTGGTGCCTGGAGCCAGCCCTGCCCATGCTTTCTCCTCAATTGAATTTCAGAATTTAGTCTTTCTACTGATTCATGGAACTAATAAACTGGGGCAATAGTTTCATAGGTACTATTTAATCCTGCGGGTTTCTTAGTTATAATTTGAGGATTGACTTACTGCATTGCCAACCACAAAAAGTTCAAAAATCATAAGTCACATCCTAAATAATCATGACAGTTACAATGTGAGCAAGTCTTGTAAATGTATTGCAAGTAACACAATTTTGGTCCCCATGCAGGAGCGTTCTCTGAAGGCCCCAACTGTGAATATGACCCCATTGTGCTAGGCACTGTACAAAAACATAGTGAGAGACAGTCTCCCCAGGGAGTTTACAATTCAGCATAAAGCGTGGGGGTGAGTTTGTGATGTGGGAGCTGAAACTGGGACCTACTAAACTCATCTCATTTGTGGGCAGCCACATATCCTTTAGATCAGTGGTTTTCAAGCTTTTTTTCTGGGGACCCAGTTGAAGAAAATTGTTGATGCCTGTAACCCAACGGAGCTGGGGATGAGGGATTTGGGCTGTGGGAGGGGCTCAGGACTGGGGCAGAGGGTTGGGGTGCGGAGGTGAGGGCTGCAAGGTGGGGCTGGGAATGCGGGGTTCACGGTGTGAGAGGGGGCTCTGGGTGGGGGGGTGGAGTGTGGGAGGGGGTCAGGGCTCTGGGCTGTGGGTGCAGGCTCTGGGGTGGGGCGGGGATGAGGGGTTTGGGGTGTAGGAGAGGGCTCCGGGTTTGGGGGGGCTCAGGGCTGGGGCAGGGGTTTGGGGCGCGGGCTTACCTCCGGCGGCTCCCGTTCAGCGGCACAGCCAGGGTGCAGAGGCAGGTTTCCCGCCTGTCCTGGCAACACAGACCACGCTGCGCCCCAGAAGCAGGTCCGGCTCCTAGGAGGAGGTGCGCAAGTGGCTCCACGCGGCTCTCACTTGCAGGCACTGCGCCCCCACTCTTATTGGCCAGTTCCCGGCCAATGGGAGTGCGGAGCCGGTGCTCGGGTGGGTTCAGCACACGGAGCCCCGTGGTCCCCCTGCCTAGGAGCCGGACCTGCTGCTGGCCGCTTCTGGGGCGCAGCACGGTGTCGGAACAGGTAGGGACTAGCCTGTCTTAGCCGGGCAGCACCGCTAATGGGACTTTTAACGGCCCGGTCAGTGGTGCTGACCAGAGCCGCTGCGACCCAGTTCCTTCCATTCCGTGACCCAGTTCTGGGTCGCAACCCACAATTTGAAAAGCACTGCTTTAGATGGAAATAACGTTGAATCCAGCTCAGCTCAAGCAGAGATCTGATGACCTGCAGTAAAAACATTACACCTGCAAGAATAAGGCTTGTAGTCTGGAAAATTACATTTATTAAATCAAGTTCTGACCTTTTGGGAAATTACATAGGCAGTCTTTAGCTCTCTGGAGAGGACGCATCGACAAACTCTCAGCCACACTGCTCAGTCTCTAAATATGCTCTCCAATAAGTTCCCCATCCTGTTCTTAAAGAAACAGCTCCCATTAACCAAAATACAAACACTAAATGTAACAATAAAACAAATATTAACACAACATCCAAATTAACTTCTAAATATAATGTTTTGCAAAATAATCCAACAATAACTCCTATTTTCTCTCTCTTACACACACTTTTCTCCCATCTGGTTCATTAACAGGATTTGAACCCACAACCTGAAAATCCACACTCCATATCTCTTCCACATCAGCTATTGGAGCCTTGGTAGTGGAAAGTATACTATTATCCCCTGTGTGAATCAGCTGATAAAGGGGGGAACAATGCACAATTCACATGTGGGTTATACAGCCATTTGTGATACACTAGTGGAATGTTGGGCACAAGGATTTGTGGTTTCTGTTCCTGAATCTGGGAGCAGAGTGTAATCTAGAGGTTACAGAAAGCATAGCCAAGTGTAACAGTGTCCCTTTTCTGGGTAAACTGTGAGGATTGAACATGGCACCTGTACCTGGAGGTAAAAGCATGAGTCTCCATCATTTATGCTAAAAAAATGTGTCTGTTAGTGTGGAGGCAGTAGAGTCATAAAATTCTGTATGTGGTCGAGCTGCTAAAGGGTCACAGAGAATCTCTGCAGTTTTGTGGGTTATGCAAGCACATAATTGGGCATGTTCATTCTGAAAGGCAGTGTGACAAAGTAGATGAGATTTGGGTCTTATTCATAACTTTGCCTGAAGTAACCTCTCTTATCTAATCTGTAAAATAGGTATACAATAGTAGTGGACGAGGCTTTGTTAATAATAAGACTGAAGGGCAACAAAATATTAACAGCAGTCAGTAAAAGACCTGAGATCCTGTAGCTTAGTGCTAGGCTAACGCATCACGATCTTTGACTTGGAGAAATGAACTGAGTAAATAAAAAGAGAGTCAGAAAGATAAATGTAAATTGATTCTCATAGGAAGGAATAATCAAATGCATGACTATGAATTGGGGTTACAGCATAGACTGAGATACCACATAGGGAGTGCTCTGGAGGATACAGCAAATAATAAAGTAAATCGACCACGCAATGATGTTGCGAAAAAGACATCTTATATTGAGTTGAATTAACTGAATAGCTTTTGAAACAAGCAAGATAATCATGCTACCTACTCTGCTCAGTGCTGGTTAAGTCTCAGGCACAGTGCTGTGTTTAGTGTTAAAGAAGTAAAAAAGATAAATTAAACAGCGGGAGGTTACAGATTGACAGAAGTTGGTTAAAAGGACCTGTGAGGAAAATTAAAGAGAACCAAGCAAGATCATTATTTACATTGAAATACCCCATATTTATTTTCTGATTTTTAAGTTTGTGGCATATATAAATCACGGGGATTTGTATTCGAATTGTCTGTGAATGACTCAGACATGTCCATGCTTGTGACAGTAGAGTGTGTGAATTGAGCTAACCTATTTAGAATTACTCTCTGGAGGTCCCCAGATTATAACTTTACAATCTACCCTGAAGAGGAGGTGGCACATAGCTACACTGCCCCAGGAGCAGACCAGAGAACGAACTGTGACTCAACTCCCAATTCTTCACCTGCTACTCCTTTGTTCTGAGGGAGGAGTAAATTTCCTCAGCTTTTTTGTGAGGCAGCTTATTATATACCCATCTAGCTGGGTAGTGTTGTGAAGGGAGGTCTGGAGTCCCCTCTCTGTCTACTTACGTGCAAAGATCAGTATGAGGCAAGCAGGGCCTGCTCTCCCATCCTCCCACTAAAGTCACAGTTAGAATAAGGAGACCCATACTCCCCTGCATGTCTGAATATGGATGTGACAATCTAAGCCCTGGGTATTTTAAATAATTATAGAAATCATCTCCTAACAAGGCCATATATATATACTTAGCTGATTATATTGGTGGTGACACATTCAGGCACTCCCCTCAAGTTATGCATGTAAGCAGATGTGCCTTTCTCAGTAGATAGGAGACTATACTTGTTTGGATCTGGATCTAAATGTGTCCAAACGTGTCTGGATCCAGGATTTTGATTTCATGCCACTTCTGCTTGTGAGATTTCATATTGGAAATTGCATTGGAAATCAACAGCAAAGACATTGGCCTAAGCAAACTCCTCTCAAGAATCGTGAATAATTACTGCACATGATTCACTAGTATTAATTTGCCAAGGAAGCTTACCACTCTAGGAGTCACAGTACAATAGAATAGTTCACATTTTCTGTGCATGTGAGGAGGATAGGGCGAAGAGACCATTTAAAATAATAAGTATGGAATGTGTATTATCTAAGCAGAGCTGGTATTTATAAACAGTGGGAAATATAAAATATCCATCACTCTCATTCTTTCCTAAGTTATTCAAAACAAAGAGTTTCCTTTGAATTCTTAGATTTTCCTTCTTAAGATTCATCTACCTCACTAAAAGCTTGTCTACGCTTACTGGGGGATTGACAAGCGGCAATCGATGCATCAGCAGTCAATTTAGCGGGTCTAGTGAAGACCTGCTAAATCGACTGCAGACCACTCTCCCGTCGACTCCTGTACTCTACCGGATCAAGAAGAGAAGGGGGAGTCGATGGGAGAATGTAGTGTGGACCCCACAGTAAGTAGATCTAAGCTACATTGATTTGAGTTATGCTATTCACGTAACTCAAATTGCGTAGCGTAGGTCGAATTTCCCCTGTAGTGTAGACAAGGCCTCACAGTCTCCGAGACTGAGAGGCTGAGTTGCTTGCTTGTTTTCAGAGTGAGTCACTGGTTTGATTTGTAAACCCCAAGAGTATAGGAGGTAACTCTGCAAACCTCCTTTGTTAAAAGCATGTGTGTCAGAACTCAACAGTATTCACAAACATTCCTTCAGCCCAGTATTCTTTTCTTACGCTCCAATGATATACTGCAGCTTGTTTGTATGAGACAATTTAGGCTGTAGGTTTTAGGTGTGGGCAGTCTACAATGGTATTGATTCAGAGAAGCAGGACTCTTTAGCCACCCATTAACTGAAAAGTATTATTCAAAGCCCATTTCACTCACATTCATCTCCCAGAACTTGTTAGTGCTTGACTGCTATGATGAGAACATACTTATGTAATGAATGAGGTTTCTTTAAACACAGAGGGAAGGAGAAGTGCACCAGGATTAGAGATTAGAGAACAGGGTTGTGGAGATTAGTGATTAGATTAATTGCTCTTTAGTGGGTCACTTGTTCACTAGGGTCACGCCTCATTCCTTTGGAGACCAGAGGATGCTAAGTTCTTGAATCCTGATTTCTTGCTGATATGAGGTACATACTTGTATTAATTTGTCTTGTAAATCCCTGCTAGGCCTTCAGTGCCAGAAGTAATTATTAAGGAAAAGGCAGATTACAACAGAGTCACCTGGCTTTCTAGTCCTGTTTTTAATAATATAATTAAATATATTAAGTATGTACTGTATATTCCAGTTTGTAGCAAAAGATTAACTTGGAAAAACCTATTTACACAAGGCTTGCCTAGTTTCAATATTTTTTGCAGGTGTGTTGCTGGAAGATTAGTGATTTAATGATAGAATTTACCTGTGGTACGATATGGGTGGGGTGGGTGGTTGAGAGTGAGAGAGACTGCCTCTGGAGAATTCTAATTCTTCCATTTTTGCTTACTTCCAGGAGGAGTCTATGCACAAATCAGCAAGCAGCAGCAGTGTCTCTCCTTCCCAAATGGAAGACTCCTTTCAAGAGACCACCTCTGGTAGAAAGAGTAAGTGGTCCGTGTTTAGGGAACAGCGTAGTTGTTTTGCTTTCCCACCTCCTAGCATTTTCTGTCTCACGAATTTTGCATGAGCATTTTTTGCTAATTAGTCAGAGCAGATCAGTGTTCGTGGGTAAGTATGTAGGGCTCACCCCTAGAAAAGAGACCTGCTCAATAGGTTAACATTGATTAAATATCCTCTTGACTGACATGAAGGCGTAGGCCGATTGGATACTGTACAGATATAAGTTACAAGGCTGCATAGTTCTGAAGACAAGAAAAACAAATACACGTATTTTAAATGAAGGAAAATATTGTTAAATGGGGAAAATAGTCTTTTCCTAGAATTGAATTTGAGGCCTCCACTAAGACAGTGCAATAGAATTAACTCATTTACTTTACTAGAATAATTGATCACCAGCAAATTACTGTGACCCTTCTTTCCTTTTTAAAATACTAAAAATATTGATTCAGAAGCATACATACTGTGATGTGCCTTTAAAAAAAAAAAAAAAAAACTGTTCAGAATACAGAGTTGCATATGTTCTGTGACTGAGGCCAGGTCTACATTCAAAAGTTAAGTCGACTCAGCTACGTCGCTCAGGGGTGTGAAAAATCCAGCCTAACACCCACTATATAGACAGTGCTAGGTCAATGGAAGAATTCTGTCAACCTAGCTGCTGCCTTTCGGGGAGTGTGACCAGGTCCCCAGGATCCAACCTGGACTCTGGGACCACTGAGCTCTCTGTCCCACCAACCTGGGCTGGCTCAGTTCAAAGTCTGTCCTCCAGATGTTCCTCCGGGTGTTGAGTTGGGGAGGGAGAGAGGCCAAGTGATGATGTCACTTTCCCTCATTTATATTTTCTTCAAGCTTGCTGGAAAGATCTCTGCTGTGACATGGGGATCAGGCACTCCCCATTGCATACGTGCTCTCTCTGAGAAGTCTCTGGGTTAGTTGATTCTTTCCTGGATGAATGTTGATGAGCCACTGGCTGGTCCTTTGTTGCAATTGAAAGTTTGACTGTGAGCGTCTGCCAACCTCACAACATATTTCGGTAACACACACATAGCAAAACTTCATAGCTTTACATACAATGATAGCACATACAATCCAATAGGATGTTAATGTTCAACTGATCAAGATTTTTAAAATATCTCACAAGGCATACTTTCTCAAAATATATCATAATCATATCATAGTGATGAATATGGGAGTTGCAGGGTGCTACTTTGAGATACAGAGAGGTAGATTAACTAGACGACAGGAGCGCCATTCTCGTCGCTGTAGTGAGGGTCTACACTGAACCGCTACAGCTGCTGTAGCATTTCAAGTGTAAACAAGCTCTTATATTCCTTTTAATTTTAAAGGGGATATTAATCGAACTACAAAAGAAACATTTCCTTTTTATAATTATAAAATGAAAAAAAATTGCTTTGTAATGTAGATTTTTGCAAATAATGAGCAAAAGAAAAAACTAAGTGAATATGCATTTTAAAGTTTTATTTGGTATTATCAAAATAGACTTTATCTGAAAATAATACATTTATAAGACTAAAGGACAAATTCTGTTCTCACTCTGGTCTTAATGTAGACTTCAGCTGAGTTATTCTGGCTTTACACTGGCATAACTAAGAGTAGGATTTGGCCTTGCCTTTCCATGTTATTACAGGAAAAGAGGAGACCTATAGAAGCTCCCCAATCAGTATATGCATACTGTGCAGTTCCTTTAGGAATAAGATACAGTTAGTGTACTCATTGCAAAGGCATAAACTGTCTTTAACCATTTCAGCTGTACAGCAGTATATGCTGCAGTTGCTGTTCTTTGTCAAGTAGTTGATTTAGATCTTTGAATTATTGTTAGAGCTTTAACATTATTCTGATGAACAATGAAACCTGTCATCATCAACCACTGGAGGGATTGGCAAAAATTGGTTGCTTAACACGGATGATCTTCTAATACTGTTGAATCAGACTTTTTCTCAGCATATGTGGGATACATGTGGGCGGCCCCTTAAAGGATCACTGTCAAATCACAATTGGCTCTAAATGTAGATTTTATAAAAAGAAAATTTTATATAACTTAAGACAAATAGAAATGTGTCCTGGAACTTTTTATAAAATTCCACTGAGAATAGTTGGTTGTAAATACATTAAAAATCCCTAGTGTTTCCAATAAACAAAGTGCTGCCAATGCACCAAGTAAAACAACTGAAAAAATAGAGAAATATTGTTTTCTCTGTCATCTCTTTCAGTTATGGTTATCTTAGATGTTACTCTGTAACAATATTTAGTTAAAATAGATTGACATTAGCATGATTTTTAATTTGACAGTGTGTGTCTAAATATTTTCATGTTGCCAAAACATATAGGTTTCTCTGAAATTGTTTCTGTATTATTATTAGCATTTTTTTTCATACGCTCTCTCTATGAAAACAGTGGCAAAGTAAGTTGAGTGCATCCTTCAGTGCCCTTTGATTTTAAAATTTATATTCAACAAGAGCAGAATTTGAGTGAATACCTGCAAACTGCACCTTCAGAAACCTGAATTATGCACAAAGATTGGCATTTGCATGTTAGTAGTGTAATTGCATACCCACAAGTGTTTTTTTTATAGGAGTGAAACTGTAGGTGCCTTTGCATTTTTGTGGAAACATGCAGTTCATCAGTTGGTTTTGAAAATATGACCCATTTAAAGACTATATGAAGATATTCTATCTTGTGTTACTTTGGAAATTAACAATAGATTTTCTACCAAAACTGTGTCTGTTCCCAGTGATAGTCCAATGACCATTCAATAACATTGTTTAACTTCTGCTGGTTGAATCTTTAGTGCCTCCGAAGTTTTTGCCAATATCATCCACACCACAGCCAGAGAGGCGTCAACCACCACAGAGGCGACACTCCATTGAAAAAGAAACGCCGACTAACGTGAGGCAGTTCCTACCACCTTCAAAACAGAGCTCCAGGTCACTTGTAAGTATCATGAGCATTGGCTATAGTGTGAGGAGGTTCAATAACTCCACAGTGGTGATAAGATAGAATCTTTCTAAGAGTTTAAACAACATTAAAACTTAGTTACATTTTGATTAGAGCTGGATGTAAAACAAAATCCCAAATTCAAACCAGTCCTGAATTTTTGGGGGAGTTTGGATCAAGATTAAATTTTCTGCCTCTCTGATGTTGTATCGAACCAAAACTCCAGGTTCAGATGTCCCAGAACTTTGGAGAAATATGGATCCTGATCTGAACTTGGTGGCTCGGACCCATCTCTAGTTTTTATTTCAGCCTGTTTCAGAAAATAATATAGCTTCTAAATAACAGATTAGGAGTTGCCTCCTTTCAAATGGAAAAGCAATTAATCTATTTTCTCTTTGTTATTGGAGTATTTTAATTCACAACTGAAGGAATGGATGGCTTTCTCTTCCTCCCTTGTAAAGAGCTAGTTTGGTTAAAGTCATAATGTGAGAGAAAAACCTTTGAAGAGTCCAACTCTTGGTGTGACCACATTGCATTGTTGAGGTCACTGAGGCATAAACTGTTTTGCTCCTTGAAAAGAAAGTACAGTACATTTGATCAATTAGCTTTAATTGAGAACTGTTTTCCAACAGCGCCTAAGTGGCAAAGGGGACGGAATGTTGGCTCTTTTGTGCTGGCACAGTGTACTTTGCAACTTCATGTGAGAAACCTGGGTTCAATTCCTGGTCTCTTGTTTTCCCTAGCAGCAGGGGCTCCAGGTGTCCCTTTGAGGTATCTATGTGTAGAGAGATTGATAGGAGCCTTCAGTGGAAGCAATGCTCACCAGTCCTCCACTTGACAGTGGCACTGATGAGCTTTGAAGTCCTATTTATTTTTCTTTGGCCAAAGAGATGGTGGCTGTGGGGCAAGTCCTTCAGAGTGATGAGGTTGAAGTGTAATAACACAATAGTCTTCAGGGATACAGAGGATACTTTCCCCACTTCTCCACAAGAAAAAAATTAACTTTGTATCACGTGCTTCTAGCTTGAATACAGCTTGTGGTCCTGGGTGAATGGCATTCAGTACTCTTAGCTCATTTTTCAAGGAACAGTAGTGAACCCTGCAGAGTATAGCACAACTAGAATTTTTTCTCCAAGAGTTTGTTTGGAGTGTAACTTTTGGAACCTCTAACACTTAAGAGGAGAGTTCATGGATGAGGGCATGATCAATGTAAAAAGAATTTCATTACCACAATGTACAGCAGTCGTTGTATGTGGGACCACAAGATTTGTTTTCACATAAGTATTCACAGGTAGAAATACGCAAAGGAAAAAAGCTGTGTGTCATTTTGAGGTGTTTGCTATTTTACACTTTCAGTATTCCTAAACAAATTACATCGTGATATTGATCCAGCCAATTTACTGTTATTGATCCAGCGCAAAACTTGGAGACTTAAAAAAGCTTAAATATGAGGTCATGGTTTTAAGTAGCTTGATTACGTTTTTCACATGATTTATTTCAAATGATCATAAATATATCTTTCCTTCTGTATAAGCTATTCATTGGTATTTGGCAACTGTCAAGTGGTGTGTGTGTGTGTTAAAACCAAAAGAGAAAAATTCTAATTGGCCTACCAATTAGAACAACAACAAAAATAAGCAGCAGAAACTTCAAGCAAAAGCAGCAAGGAAACATCTATTGGATTCCTGCAGGGTCACATAAATGAGGGTTTCAGATCATGTGGGGACAGTTTATTTACTCCAAAGAACACTCTGTAATCCTTCACCCAACTTGTTCAACATGCTTTTTCTGTATGAAGTGAAAAGGAAGAAAATTGATGTTGAAATTATGTTCTTTTAATGCAGTCTGTTTTATGTGCCGCTGTTAAATATATTTTTTAATCTTTGCAACAGTGCCCTCTGGAGGTGGGTAACTGATAAATCACTTGATCTTTTTGTTTTAATTCAATGCAAGGTTTTCAGTATTAGTCTAGCCAGTAACCTAACCAGCTCCTGCACCCTGACATGGAATTCTTCACCACTCATATAAGCTGGCATCTCTTATTATCACTGCATTTGTGATACTGCAGTTCCTTGAGTGGAAGCCTCTAGATAAGTGCAAAAAATGCTTTACTTTTTATTTGACTGCACTCTTCTTCATCCTTTCCTCCAGGATTGATGGAGTTTCAAATTCTTATCTGCTCCAGTGACAGCAATTTCCCTTCAAGGTGAAAGAGCTTGTCGTTAAATAGACATCAATGCCAAAGAAAAAAGGCCATTGCTACAGTTTCTTAGCAGGATTAGCAGGCAACTGGTCTGTCTTGCATACTAACTAGGATTTTGTGAACAGGCATCTCCGCATACCAATTAGTGCTAAAGTAAGAGGAGTGGGGAGAAACAAACTTGGAAAAATTCCAAACAGAGCCCTTTTTCATGTCAGCATATCAATGGTAAATGAGAAGTTGCAGAAACTGCAGCTGGAGAGTTCACTATTTTTCCAGGGTTGGCCTTGTGGTGTACCTACCAAAGTCACCCAACTTGGTACCTAATCAGTAAGATACAGTCAGTGTACTGAGGTGTATGTGTGAAAGCCTTCATGATTTTTCTTATTTTCATGATCCAGAATCCCTGCTAACTATTTCATTCATGTTTAGCGTTCCCTATTCTGCTTCCTATCTATTGTTCAGGTTCCTAGGATAACCAGGTTTTTTCCAAGGACGACTTTCAGACCATTTTTTTCAACCATACAAACAGCTTCTCTGCTCAGCTCTCATCCCTTTGAAGCAGCCTTGGTTGGAGTGGCAAGGGCTATGTATTATCTGTGTGACAGAGCTTTTACCAGTAGGTGGAAACCCCCAAAGGTTTGCCTCTTTATGCTGGCTTTGGAAATGATCTTTACAAGCACATGAGTTCTAGGGGGAGCACTTCCTAAGCTGTGGCAAGAATTAACAGCTTAGGTTGGCACACTACTCCTGATTGAGATTGATTTCAGTGTTTGTAGAATACTTGTGTGTGCTTAGATCCTTCAGTCACCTCATGGGAAAAAGAAATCAGTTGTGAAAGGACAGCAAACTAAAAATGCAACATCATATTATTATCAGTGGGACACGTTTTCCAAATCTTAAATGTACAGCACATGAAGATCCACCAACCTTCACAAGCAAAACCACTGTGATCCTTGGATTGTGTTGAAAAGATTAAGCTGTTTGTTGCTTTAACAGGATATACCGTATCATGGAATAGAATGGCATTTCTAAGCAAAATATTACTTAAAACCCTAACAATGGTTTTAGTCTTTGATGCACTTAAGTATCAGAAGTATCCAGCATGATCAGTAGTTGGCTTGCACCAGGTTAGGTCAACCAGTTGAGAAGAAAATAACTCCCCCCAAACCATTTTTGGAACTGAACAGGAACCAACAATTTTTAAGGTTCTGAAATTTGGTGGGTTTTTCCCCCTCCCATTTCTGGTCCCAACCAGAAAATATTGCAAGACTATCTGTAGTCTAGAGATATCTAACTGAGTACTCCAGACTGAAGATGTCTAGTTAGGCATAGACTTTAGAGTGCCTAACATAATCTGAATTGCATAATTTTTGTATTTCACCCAGCACTTGAATATACATTACTTTCTTGCTGTGACGCTTTTGAATGCATGGTAATAACTTGTAATGCAAAGTTTTACAACACATCGCGTATAATAAATACATTAATATGAAACATGTACTGTTTATACATAATCAGCACAAGCTCTTAGGTGAGGATATATTGAAAATAATCTACAAAGCACTTATTTCCTATTATGGAGATGTAATTCAGACTACATGTTATTCTTGATATAAAGTCACCACACTTACACTGTAATAGCTCTGATTGAGCCCTTGGTATGCTGTGACTACATAGTCAAAATGTTAAGCAAATTCTTTACAAGTTCATTAACTTTTTAAGTACAGAAAAGTACTTTTAACATGGCTTATTTTTTTCCATTTAAAATAACCATACTAAACTGTCTTTAATTAATATTAATTGATGATTGGATTCAAATCCAGAAAAACAAGTAAATTCAGAAGCCAGGTTCTGTCCTTAACACACTCCGCTGAGTGTAGGTATTGCAGAGGACTTAGGACATTACACACACTACCATATGCAGCCCCTATGACATGGACAAGGATTAATGATAGGAGTTAAAGCTAAAACTCTAAAATGTTACTGTTTTTGTAAATTTTAGTCAGTGGTTAGTGTAATTTTGATTAGCTTAATTTAAAGACTGAGCTAATGTTGAAATTAAAGATTTGGCATGTACTTATTTTTATTCTGAGAAGGAAAAAAATTAAACATTCTTCAGAAATCAGTATATCACTTAACTTTTGTTTAATGTTGCATTAAAGCTTTGTTGTCCTTGTGTAATTGCTGGAATTAAAACATTAGCATTTAAACAAGTGAACATTTTCCATGTTCCCCCTTTTCCCTGCTGGCTGTTCACACAAGGTTTAATGAAAATTAATTTTGATGGTTGCAAGAACAGATCCACATCATTCTTCTGCTATCTAGTAAACATCTGAAGTACTAGTTCTACAGAAACAAATTTTTATTGATAAAGCATCTTAAGAGATTAAAGAAACATATTAAAGAGGCTAAACTTTAAAAGTTGAAACGTGTATTTATCATGTCATTAAATATGCAACAAATTAGTGTTTAAATCTTCATCATAATGAACATTTTGTTGTCTAAGGGAAGAATTAAATATGATACTTGATTGTATTAAAGGAAAAATATCCCTCCTGTAAGGAAATAGCTTTCTAAAAGACTGAAAACTGTGATTGATCAAAAGCATTTAGTAAATCTCACTTGCCACAAACACCATCCTGACATCCCATTCTGTAGAAAATAAGTTTCTCATTGGCATTGCCTGCCCCACATTCTCTCACCCATTATTCTTCCTCTCCATCCCTCCCAAAGTATTGTTGATATCTAATAGTGCTGTCATCATAAGGATCTCAAATACAATACTGACAGCTAGCTGCTGGTTACGTGGAAGTTTGCTGCTAATGAAATGACGTATTTTGTATGTTCATGGAGTTTTACACCTCTCAGAGGAAATCACATTTGGTTTTGATAGGGTTTGGTTTTTCCAGAAAACTAAGTGTCACCAGTAAGAACATACCCCAGAGGTTTGGCTTGTCTAAGAAAACCAAAATAAACTCAATTTTAGCTTTTTGTGGGTACCTTAAACAGGGTAAATTTTTTTTATGTTCCTTTTCTAGGTAGATAAGACAACAGTTCTTTAAAATATAGTGGTTCCTAAATGCTAATGTTTGCCAGGTCTGCAACAGAGATCAAAATATTTTCTCTCTAATTGAAAGTCAGAACAGAATTTTAAGACTATCTATCTAAATTGAGCACTCTGATTTATCAATTAGATTTCCAAGCTATCCGTAGAGTGCTGTCATCAGTTTCTTTGTGTGTACAGAGGAGATTTCCTGTATTTATTCAGAGAACATTAAATTTCTGTGTCACTTCGGCACCATAGCCCCGCTGGGCTAAGTGAACAGGTGCACTAAGCAAAAAGTGATGAATTCCCAGGGCAGTTCTGTCTTTCTGTTAGAACCATGCAATCAACCTCAGGGCTGGATTACAAATGGGAACGAGGCTTTTTATTCTGTGGTACCGAAGTTAGAGGCCATATGCTCAGGGTTGCTATTCTCTTAAATGCACTAGCACAGAGTGTATGGAAGTTTCACAGATGGGCAGTAGTTCCATCATTAGTAGCCTGGGTGTAATTCCCTGCTAGTAAGAACACAACAATGGATTAACTGTTTTGCTCAAACTTTATATTTTAAGATTATTTTAATAAAGTTTAAATTGACATTATCATCATCTTGGAGGGAAGGTATATTAACTGCATATAATACATTTTCTATTCTTTTGGTCTAGATTTTGTTCACAGGCTCTAATTATAACCATGATTACCAATATGTGGTACCATTGAATAAAAATTCTTTTGGAGGTGGCTACTAACCGCTTTCTTCAGCTACTCTGGGCACCACAAAGTCTCAGAGAAGCTGCTTGTCTTTAAGCAACATACTATCAAAGGGAACAGTGCCAAGAAATATCTTTTTACACCTATGTATCAAATCATTTTGTGTCCTTTCAAATTATAAAATTGAATTGTAATTGGCTAAAACAAATATTCATAATAAATAAAATAAAATCAATGGAAACAGGTGTCAGATGATATAAGTGCTCATAGAAAAAATTGTACATAATCAGTGTCTTGGTTTGAAACTCATGTGATGCCCATGGATCAGCCAGTGCTATTCCGTTTTTGGGTTGTGAAATCTTTTCTTTGAAGTTACTAACTAGGTGGCTGGCTTTCTAGGCTGAGATCTTGAAAAGATGATGGGTTACATAGTAATGTAGATTTTTGGCTTCCAGGAGGAATTTTGTTACCCAGTGGAATGTCTGGCTCTGACAGTGGAGGAAGTCATGCACATTCGTCAGGTGCTGGTGAAAGCAGAGCTGGAAAAGTACCAGCAGTATAAAGATGTCTACACTGCCCTCAAAAAAGGAAAGGTATGCTTGTTTCAGCTGATCCACTGAGAGCTGTTAGGGAGGGAGGTGAATCACACAGATTCCAGTCAGTGAAAGAATAGGAGTTGGAACCAGAATTCAGGTGTCAGATTTTCATTAGTAATTGACCAGTCAGACTTTCAATTTATATTGGAGAAACTAAACTAAACTTTCCCTACATGAAGTAACAGATGGGCCAGTTTCCTTGGTTTATATATGGAAATGTCAAAAATTTGTATTGGAATATCACATTTGTGTTTGACCCTCCATAAAGAAACAGTAGCGTTTACAGTAGTTGTTGCGCGCGCTCTCTCTCTCTCTCACTTTTTTTAGCTTAAGTTTAATAAAACATCCTTCCCCCATCATTTCCCTAGACCAGTGGTTCCCAAACTTGTTCTGCCGCTTGTGCAGGGAAAGCCCCTAGTGGGCCGGGCCAGTTTGTGTACCTGCTGCGTCCCCAGGTTCGGCCGAACGCAGCTCCCAGTGGCCGTGGTTCGCTGCTCCAGGCCAATGGAAGCTGCTGGAAGCGGCGGCTCGGCTGAACCTGCGGATGCGGCAGGTACATAAACCGGCCCGGCCCACCAGGGGCTTTCCCTGCACAAGCGGTAGAACAAGTTTGGGAACCACTGCCCTAGACACACATACATACACAGCCATGCTACTTCATATTTTTTTCTGGAGAGACCAGAGCTACAGGTAAAATAGGATATAATAAAAGTTTTACAATATAAAGTATCTTTTTTTTTTAATTCCCATTGAAATCAATGGAAGCTGTCACAACCAAGTCCAGTTCTCTTGTCTGAATGGACACCAGTCTCTTGTGAGTGGACCCAGCTGCTGATTCCCACATGCTTCTAAGTGCCTTGGGTCTGGATAGTGTCTGATCACTGTTCCTAGCCCTGGGTTTCTCAAGCATGCTCCCAAGTGCAGACCCTATTTCTGCTACCCTTCTTGGGAATTGGGACCCCATTTGGACCTAGAACCAGTGATGCAGCCTTACCAAGTTCCAAATTGTTACATATGTTCCACCTCTCTGTGGGTGCTTTGAGCTTCCTGATTTGCCCCTTGAGGGACAACATGGCAGGCAAACAAGGAACACAGGCTTAGCAAAGGAATTTCTTAACCACAGACACTTTACTCTTAACAAAGCACATGAGCGAGTTACAGATGTTTGAAAAAACAAAATCCTGAATACAGCCCCCAGTCTGATCTCACCCCTCCTGTGAATACAGGGTTTGGTCAGCATCCCTAGGCCAAGCAGCTGGTCCTGCCTTCTCTGTCCTTAACGTGTTGTCCTGGCATGTAGCAGTAGACGGTTCCTTCACATAGAGTATTCCCACTTAAATAACCCCTTGGGTTAGGTCCTGTCCCTTCCCCGCATCCCACCCCCACCATGTCTCAGCTTCTGTGCAGATAATCTTTCTTCTTATGGTTGGGCTGGCAGTAGAAAGACAAACAGCACTGCTGGCTTTGGATTGCTCTGTGTCAACTTATCAGATATAGTCATTCAACTAGGTCTGGAGCCCCCACTACAAAATGGGTGCTCTAATCCACATTGGAGATTGCAATACAACATGAGGGTCGCACTCCAAAATGAAGATTACAGTTTAAAGTGGAGCTCTGGAAACAAAATGGTACCCACAAAACAAGACAGGGTTCACAACTTGATCCAGAGCCCCCAGTCTGTCACAGAAACTTTCCCTGTATAAAGAGTGTGGAACCAAGGCCCTTATATATGAAAGAGACAATGAGAGATGTCAACAAGTTCTTCTAATTCATTTAGAATAAAGTGGGTGAGGAATTTCCCCCCCCCTTGCCTGGCTGAATTGTATGTTCTGAGTTTTAAAGCAAGTGGGATTATTTTAAGGCTCCATTGTCCTCCAAAGGTAAGCAGGATGCATTAATCTCACACTCTTATTTTTTGAGCCTTAGGCAAGACATTCAGAGGCTCATGAGTAACAAGCTAAAAGGAATTTAAAGCTTCTGGGAAATCATGCATCATGTGACTCGGGGATTTAATATGAGAGCACCCATCTGCCAGTGTATTTTTCTTCCATAGATTACAGATCACTAAAAAAAAAATTACTGTCTCCTTTTCCTCCCCTGGGCTCCTGCACATTAAACTCATCAAATAAATCTATCCCAACTTCAGTCTGTGCATCTTCACCAAAGGCCAAGTTAGAAGCATGCAATTTTATTTCCAGGACTGTACTGCTAACATTGCAGTCTCTTCTGTTTTAAATTTCTTTAGCTCTGTTTCTGTTGTCGAACAAGGAGGTTTTCTTTCTTCACCTGGTCCTACACCTGTCAGTTTTGTAAGAGGTGAGTTTTTGCTCAGAGTGAAATACTAGGATTCATACCTCACTGGTTTCTATTTTAATTCACAGTGTTATTTGGTTTTGTTTTTGAAATGTAGTTATGGTCAGAAAAATGACTGTAAAAATGGCTCTTCCTTATTCAACATACCTGCTCCCTTAATATATTCAGATTCAGAGCGGCTCAGGTTTTAGAGTAAAACGGTAACAGTGCTCCTCTGTTAGCCCAGCAGAGCCCATATGGGTATGAGGCAATGAGATAGATTCTACAGAACCCTCCGGGGTGACATGTGAACCCGAAAGAACAAAGAGAATTTCAGATTCCATTTGAGTTGGTAGTATTGGCAGTTGGGGAAAAAATGTTTACTTATAAACTGACCAAACTTTAAGGTGATAGTCAATAAGGCAGTAAATATGGAACTCTATGCACCCCACACTGTCTTACTTAAATAACATTTCTTTCCACTGAATGATTCAGACTTTTACTTTTCTACACAGGCCTGTATGTTCACAGTGTTGCAAAAAGGTAAGTTCAGGAACCTACCGTTTGTTCCTTTCAGAAAGGCTGTCTCTTTGGTAACGATACTTCACGCTGTCATTCTCCTGCTCTTGTAACAGATGCGGTTGCCATCAAAGCCATACTCCACCCTTCCTATCTTCTCTCTGGGACCTTCTGCTTTGCAGAGAGGAGACAGTTTTATGAGACCAGAAAAACCCTCCACCAGTCACCACCGGCCGCTTAGGAGCATGTCCAGGTGAGAGACATTCCTAGTTCATCTGTGCTTCTGGTAGCAGCTCTTCATAAGATCTTCTTCTCAGTCTCTTAGTTGCTAATGAGACATAATATACTAGGCTCTGTTTTTGTAGTTTGTTTTAATTTTCCAATGTTTGTCATATCATTTTAGAAACCCAAAGATAAATGTCTTTCCTTACCGATTTCATTTTTCCACTGGATAAAGATTGAGGTTTTTCCTTACATTTCTAGTGGAACAAAACCCATCCTGATTACTTTTCATTTACTACTTAGTAAATATAAACTATATTTACTTAAATAAGACTTGCTGACACAATATTTAAAATGTGCTCTGTCCCCTTTCTATACTATAGCTGACAATGATAGTAATATCAGTACAGCTGATAAATATTCTCACTTTTTTTTTTCTAGTGTAGATGGATCCTCAGAAGAAAAATCTCTGTTCTTGGTAACTGAATAGGGAAATTCTCCCTTATTAGACAATGACTTACACATGCAGAGGTGAAAGTAAGCTGGTACAGTGTACCGGCAAGAGCCAGTACGCCAGACCGGACCAGCTTCCCCGGGCTGGCGATTTAAAGGGCCCACGGCTCCCTGCAGAGGCCGGAGCCCCGAGCCCTTTAAATCGTCTCCTGAGCCCTGCTGCCGGAGCCCTGGGGTAACGGCGGCAGTGCTCCATCGGTGATTTAAAGGGCCCGGAGCGCCGCTGCAGTAGCGGCGGCCAGAGCCCCGGGCCCTTTAAATCGCCCCTGAGCCCCGGGGCTCCCAGCCTCCTCTGCAGCTGGTAGCTCTGGGGGTGATTTAAAGGGCCTGGGGATTTAAAGGCCCCGCCTCATCCGTTGAGGCCATGCCCCCTGCTCAGGATTCTGGCGTACCGGTAAGTCCTTTAAGTTACTTTCACCCCTGTATACATGTCAAACACTTTCTACTCTCTAGCCATAGGTTTGTTTCATTTGGATCAGGTCAGGATGTAGATCCATGGACCCCTCTCTCTGTGTGCAAGTCTGTCTTTAAGACCCACTTCTGCCAGGGTGTCTACATGCAAATTAGCAAAATTAAGACATCCATGTAGTCATTCATAAAATTCTCTTTGCCAAATCATGTTTTACACTAGCCTTCACTGAATAACCATGTAATCTTATTGACGTGTCTTCCCATCTCCATCCTTTCCTTACTGCTTTTTTGCACCCTCATTAAGTTGGGGACAGCAAGACTTGGGACAGGAATAGTGTATTCTTTCTCTTTGGGAGGTGTCTCCATTGGCGTCCAAAGCAGTGCTGAATGTAAATAATGATAATGAGTAAGGGACGGTTTCTTTGTTTTTCAGGTTGTCCACAAAGTCTAAGTCTGTGGATAAATCAAATGAAGATCTACAGTTTCCCAAAGAGTTAATGGAGGACTGGAGCACCATGGAGGTGTGTGTGGACTGCAAAAAGTTTATTTCAGAAATCATCAGCTCAAGCCGGCGCAGCCTCTCTCTGGCCAACAAACGAGCCAGGTTAAAAAGGAAAACACAGTCGTTCTACATGGCATCACCAGGCACCTCTGAATACTGCCCTTCTGAGAGAACTATCAATGAGATCTGAGTCTTGTGCCTTTTTCTTTGCTTTTGTCTTCATGAGGTCAGCATCCGTGAGAAAGATCACTGAAACTGTCCTTCCCTTTGTTTTACTTAACGAGCTTGAATTTGCATTAGATCACAGGGTTTGCTACTCTACGGTTTCCACAGACTCTACATTCATATCTGTAGATAATGATATGTAATAGGTCAGCCAATAACTCATTTGCACTGGAAGGAAACAATAGTTTGAAAATGTTGCCTTTGTGTGTATGTGTGCGCATTGTGCAGATAGAAAGCCTTTACTTGCATTCAGTTTTTTATCATTCCTTGAATTGTTTTCAGGACAAGAGCTGAATTGTATTCCTAAAGGAGAACCAAATCTAACACAGGTGTCAATGTTAGCACAATTGTAACCAGTAAGTCATATTGGCATTACCAACCTAATAGTGTTCATGTTCTAGTTTATGTGGCACATGGAGCCATGTTGTACACCAAAAACCTAGTGTGGGCTGTTGGTCTCATTGTCTCACAGCACAAAACCTAGAAGGTTTTGCTAGTGCTATCAACATTCTCTTTCTTTCAACTGTTGTTACTGCTCTGAGATCATGGTTCATTGTGGAACTTGATAATGTCTGTGTTCTAGTGCAAAATATCTGAATAGGCTGTATGCCCAAATGGGGGGCCATTTTCCCTGAGCTGCTCTATTTCTAAGCCCCGGTGTAATTATAAGTGTCTCCTGTGCAGGTAGGAGTAGTTTATTCCTTATCTTGAATGTATTGTGATTATTATATTTGGTAGTAGTAGTTTTAGCAGTAGATAGAGCTGTGCACTCGATGGGGAGGGTGGGAAATGAGAGGCTTCTAAGTTTAACTGAATTCCTGTAAAGTATGTAACATGGTTACCCAGAGAGGAAGTATGGGTAATATGTATATTTGTATTATAGTGGAACACACAAGCACTGCTATAATTAAAAGTTCGGGAGCATATCCATTATAAATCCCATTTTTCAGGGGTTTATAATTTGGCTGTAAAATGTAGGATCCTGATGAAATTTGAGACAACAGAGTCTCAGATTAGGAGCACCTTGTTTTGCTTTTTAACAAACTTATGGAGAAAAAAGTCTAGCTGTTAAAAGTTTCAATAATGTTACAATGTTAACAAACATCACATGCTTTTTGCTCTTTTTTTATATTCAAATGTTTTGTTTTGAAAGCAGTTAAAACATAATTAGAGTTTAGTCCATAATATGGAGATAGGTCATTTTGGTATTTAAAAATAAGTTAACATAACCAAGTTACTAATACTTGAAAATCAACTACTGTGCATACACAGTAACTTTTTCATAACATTTTTCATACCCAGATCGATATTTAATATCAATACAGTGCTGTATTATATACTATCATAGTAGGAAAGATTCAGATCTATTTATTAACATTTCAGTACTAGAGATTGATGAGAAATACCTCAGAACTGCTCCAAAGGACAGGGTTTTCGTAATACAATTAAGGTCGATCTGTTTTCAAACTCTAAATACATATTTACAAAATAGAATCTCTTGAACCAAATATTATGCATTTTAAAAAGTCACTAGGCGCCAAATCCTAGACTTGATGCAGAGGAACTGGGTTGACGATCGGAGTCTGGCTCCCACATTCCATTGAGTAACATTAGAGCCACTCTGCAACTGCTACTGCACCATCCCTGCAGTGTGGAAGGGCAATAGCCACCCACTGACACCACCTTCACAGGCTTCCCGAATCCTATCCCTGCCTGCCATGCAGTGGCGCTGCCCCAGTTCCACGGTAGGCGGGGCTCCCTGCCACCCAAACGTGCAGGATTTCCCCCTTCAAGGCAGATCTGCGAGTTAAGCTGTAATAGCTCCATAGCAGCTAGTCTAGTATTAGGTAAGTGTGTGTTTGGGCTGTTCTGAAAAGCCTGTGCAAAGGGCTCTTTAAACCCATCCTGGGACACACCCATCCTCATTTTCCTTTAATCGTATTTACATAAACAGACAGTTTGCACACACGGCGAGTATCGGGTAATAACGTTAAGGGTTTGCCTGAACTGATGACCACAGGAAGTTCAGAGTTATAGGTCAGTCCCCATTCTTAACCCTTTCCTTTCTGCAGAGGGCCATGCAGCTGTTACACCCTCTGTCTGGGGACCTCAGGACAATGGGTCTTTCATATAAATTACAATATCTTGATGAGTTAAGGACCTACGATAGCGGGGGTAGCACTGTGCAATTTATGTGAAATGGGTAATGAAAGATCACCCGTTAGTCATATGATAGCCCCTCAATCAGGTTGCATTTTTTTGCCACTTATGTTTCTGTGCCAAAATTAATCCCTGCAGCCCACCCACCCACCTCTTTCCGTTGCTGTATTGCATAATATTCACACCAGACGGCCAACTCCCAGGGAAGCACATAGGGCTTTTATTTTAAACCCCCATTATTCTGTTTGTAATTTTTCTTGGGAAACATCCCCTTCTACACCCCATACATCTATTTACTGCTCCTTTCCATAGCCCGCTGGAAAAAGCTGCAGGAGCAGGAAACGCGTTCCTTAATGTCTCTGAGGCTCTCAGGGGTGCAGAGGATCCGGCATGTTTTTCTTTCTGTTGGGAGGGGTTAGTGGTAGAAGCCATGGCCTCATAATGCCTCACATCCAGTATATGGGCAGTGAAATCAGACTCCAGCCCTGCAGATCCTGGGCCATCCATGAAGGCCTACCCCTCAGTGCAACATCCTTGCTCCCTGCAGCATGGCTTCCTTGGTGAGGTCTTCTCTCCCATATCAGTGCATCTTCATAGATGTTGTAGAGGAGAGCTGACGCTGCTTCTAGCATCATTACTAAAGTGTGTTGTTTGTATTACTGCGACACCTAGGAGCCCTAGTCACACACCATGACCCTGTTGTGCTAGGCACTGTACAAACACAGAACAAAAAATGGTCCTGTGAACTACTGAATGGCCATCAACTTAGAGTCCACTAGTGTGTGAGGGCAGCAGGGTGCAAAGGCTGGCTGTTTCCAGTTCTACCCCTGTCTGCCTGACTCAGCCCCTCCAGGGCTGTGCGATGGTAGCACAGAGGCACCTGGAGAGGGGAATCCTGCCGTAGAGCTGCCATTCTCCTGGGGGGTTTTCCACACTGGTTGCTTCCATCTATATTAGGGAAAATAGGCCCTTGTACAATGTGCTGGCCTTTAATTTGGCAGAGGAAACAAAGTCAAGCAAAGGCGGAAGAAGCACCGTCCATCCACTCTTTGCCCGGATCAGTATGGAGTGGACTATTTTGAGCTTTCCACCTCACCCTTTGTGCTAGTGTCACAAACCCATTCCAAGTATCAAGGACCAGTCCACTTTGCCTGCGTACCTTATGAAGCTGCCCACAATGTCCTATTTATGGCTTAAATTTCATATCAGTGTCAGAATAGAAAAACAAAAGCTTGTAAATATCTGTAATATATTTATTAATATTTAGAAAGCTGCCATGCATTGAGCAATGGGAATTGACTTTCCCATGAAGATTTAAAAAGAAAGAGTCTTATTTATATGTATATTGATTGTATTATTAGATTTAAAGTTGAGCCTCTCTCCATAGACATTTTAAAATGAATTTCTGTTGAAAAGAATGTGGGACTAGCACAGTGAGCTCATTTAAATGAGTGTTTAAAATCTTTTTTTTTTTTCTAACTGTGTTTAATAAAACTAGGACTTGTATAAGTGCATCAGAGGAGACCCAAAGGGGGTTTAAAAAACTGTCGTTGGCAATGCAATGGTCTTGTATTTTATACATGAAAACAGTTCTTGAGAATTCAAAGCCAGCTCAGCCTTGCTAACAGCTGCAATGAAGGTAGCAAACAGGCCTTTGTGGCGGCTCTTATGTGTATAAAACAAATTCTTTCAACGTTCATGGTGACAATATTGCTTATGGGTTTTTTCATTAAGTCCTTTATTGAAGAGAAAAAAAAAAAAACCTGGGGACAATAAAATGCCTTTGGAGCATAGCCTTTGTGTGTATTAATTATTCACGTGTAAACTATCGTAAAGAAATTTTTTTTACTGCTTTTTAGAATTTTGCAAAAGTCAAATGGTTGTATCTTTTGGCAAAGGCAGTGTTGATGAGTAAGATTTTAGCACTTACTAGGCTACATGAGAAAAGGAAACAGGTCAAAATAGTCTTTAGAATAGCAATATAACTGCATATGTGACCCACTGGACTCTAAGCATTAAAGTATGTTTTGCATTAAAATACTGCTTCTGCTAAGCAGTAGAAAAGTACAGTATGACCAATTCCTACCAAAACCTTCCATATCACAAGCTGAAGAGCTGTATATAATTTTAACTCTTCCTATATGCATCAATTGCACTGAACTTTTTACAGAATCTAAATAACTACACGCAACCTCTCTTTTTTTGAGCCTGTAGTTGATGTGCATTGTGGGAGAGGTACTAGGAGTCTTTCAAAGACCAAAATGGAAGGCTATCAAGAAAAAATAATAAAATAAAATACACAGACATCATCATTTATTTTCCAAAAACCAGTCTGTTCTCTGATTCTCTCTTCTAGGATTGGCTGCATGTTCTATAGGTAGGGAGGGTGGGGGAAGATCCAACTTTAGACAGGTATGAAGGTAGCAATCATGCTAAACTTCATCCAGAAGTTCTGTGCAGCTTTTAGGAATGTCTTTATTATTTGAATTGTATTTGTGAAAGTGACATCGCACAGTGGGTAGCAGAAAGGCGCTGTAACTGCGTGTTCTGGTGCGACAGCATCCCTCTTATCTTAGCATTAAATTCTAAATCATTTCCATATAGAAGGCTGAAAGCTGGTTTTATTTTTATTTTTTCTTTGATATGTAACGAAGTTAAAACTGAGCTGCTGAATTGTTGTTAATAATCACAGGCATGCAGTCCATTCTCTTGTTTTCCTCTGACTTCACTAATATGCTTTTGCTCTTCCTTAATATTTAACAAAAAATATCCTAATACGAAAACAGCTAGATTATGTCATTGGATCACTCGACTGAAAAAGCCAAACAGACACAGATCCTGCATTATTTCTTCAAAACACAAGCCAGTCAGGCCCTATTACAGCCTGAGCCCATTCGCCTGAACTTGGGAGGAGTAAGGAAGTTAAATCTTTCCTTCAGTATTTGTACTGGTGATGAGCTGATGCTGTTAGAACCCCTGCCATCCCTATGGCAACTTTGAGGGCCAGATTAACCCAGTTTTGCAGCCTTCCAGTCCTGGGCCAGCCACCAGCATTACATTTTACATTCATTAGCCTATGTCTCCCAAGAGGCCATTCCAGAACAGGGTTTGCCAAGACTTAGACACATCCTGGCCCCATCCTCTGTCTTTCCCCCAGATGTGCCCCTATTCTGGGTGGTGGGAGGAGGATGTAGGAGCCTCGCTGCCAGTCTCATGCCATCAGAGGATTCCTCTAGAAAGAGGGAATCTTCTGTTGGCTAGTTGAGTTCTAGAGTAGCACAAAGCACCCTGAACAGGCCAGAGAATCTGACCCATAGTTTTATAAAATGCATTTTAGAACCTGGGATTTAAAAGAAGAAGAATCTCCAGGTGCTGTAAGAACTGAACTTTTTAAGCTCACTGTCTTTTTCTCTCTGCAACTTAAAGAATTATTAGCAATTTCTCCTGTGAGTGACTCCCAACCCGTTTTCAAACTTTCCATTATGTAGGCAGGTAAAATGAATGCTGCCAGGGCCTTGTGTATACTGATAATTGTCACAAATTTTCCCACCATTGGGCTAGCATTAGTCTAGAGCCGCTGGCATTTTCCCACCCTGCTGTCTAGACTCACAGTGGTGCCCGGCCAACAGTAGGAGAATCTTACTATCATCAGCCTCGATGACCCCATTAAAATGGGGTCCTGACCCACAGTTTGAGAACCCCAACCTATGCTATACCTTTAGCATAGGTAGCATTTACACTGAAGGGCTACAGTGACAGCTGCAGCTGTGCCACTGTAGCTTTCAAGTGTAGACAAGCCCCAAGTCCACAGTCACCCTGCAAGTGCACAAAAGGGGATCTATGCACTATTAAACTGATGCTGCATTTGTTTTGTCTATATATTAATTTCTCGGCTGGCTGTTCTTTTAACTACTTGACAGATGCAGCACTAACTTGGGTCAGCCCAAGCAGAACACACGTGCTGTGTGGCCAACGTTCCAGATACCTCCTAATCTCCCATTGGTCACAGTGTCATGGTACTGGATGACATTAGCACAGCAAGTATATGAGACCTAGCACTTCAGGAGTTAATGAGGAAGCCTGTCCATGCTGTTGTAGGAACTACCACCATGCCTTTTTGTAGGGCTAAATCGGTGGTGTCGGCACCTGCTGTACTTGACTGTGCTAAACTGTTTTTCATTGAAAACATGTTAAACCAGTTTTTGAGAGGGTCAATCTTGAATCTGATACTTCTATTTCTAGAAACTTGAAATCAAGTCTACAGGGTCAGCCCCTGCATAAACATGAGGTGCTTGTGTGTTAGAAACAGTACTTCGTACTGCTGTAGCACCTTCCTCAAAATGTGTAACAACCCCTAAGATAACCTAGTGCCCAGCACCAGGCCCAAGGAGCTGGGCTAAGCACTGAGAATAGATGGAGGCTATGGAAAGGACACAGAGCTTCTCCCTTAGGGAGTAGGTGGCATAGGCCAGCCCATAGGGGAGGAGAGAAGGATCCATGTGGCAATAGAGACAGTGGCCCAGCTGTGTGTGCCTCTGCCCCTCCCCCCATTGCATAGCACCTCTGGACTTTCACCCCTCCCAGACACAGGAGATGGATTTGTTTCTTAGCCTTGGTACAGCTCTGTGAGGTAGGTAATACACAGTTTATAGATGGGGGAATCACAGCACCTCCTTCCCAATGTCAACAGGAAGCTTTTGTCAACGGTGGGACTAGAACCCAGCTCTCCTGCATCATAGTCCTGTGCATGAAAAAGATTGCATGGCAGGTAAAGGGCTGCCATCCACTAGTGGAGGCATTTTTATTTGGTCTTTGCCTGTGCCTCACCCCCTGCTCTTCTTGATTTGGTTCATATCAAGCAAGGGGTTTTAATGAAAGTGATGACTTGAAGGGTAGCAGTGTAATAGGCACCCTCAGAAGTAACTTAACCTGAAGGTTTATTTGTGAACTTGACTTTTTAGTCCGATTTAGCAGTCAGTATTTCATCTGTAAATGGGTGTACATTTGCCAGTAAGCTATGCAGTCATTTCATTCTTTCCAGGCCTATGGAAGTTAGCATTAACTTACAGTGGTGCCTATTAATTTGCTAAGCCTTGCACTACATACAAAGAACACCTGCACTGAGCTTACAGCCTAAGCACAGGCACCACAAATCGCATGCAGTAGGAGTCCCACCAGTAGGTTTCACCTTGGAGTGTATTTCAAAGCAATCTTTAAGGCTATAGCACAAACCAAACTCCAAAGTGTTCATTTCTCACATCCCTTCTTCCTCTATGCTGTCATGGTGCATGTACGTTTGTATGGCTTCCAATAGAGAAGGGCAATCATTTATATGCAAGAAAGGCAATAGGATTTTTTCTGCTTGTTTTCATGCTGTGATATTGAAATGCAGTTTGTTTATGCATTACTAATAAAAAGCTCTTAAAAGGTGCATTCTCCAGTTCCAGCTTTCTTAACATAATGAATGGTAAAAACATACCTGGAGTATTTAATAGGCTTTTGTGTAACCTGGGCTGAAACAGTGATTGTTTTTTGTTCTTAGCCTTAGTACCCTAAATAGTGGTTGCTGTTACAGACTCTAACCAGTGGGGGAAATGAGGAAGGGTCAGGGAGATAAGCCTTGAGGCCCTAAATTAAATACAGGAGCTGGGAGGAAGGGGAACACATACACAGTTAAGTTTCTCCTTTGCACACATTTATGGTGCCCAAAATCCCAATGCTGTAGTACTGCAGAGCCTAATAAGGCTCTAGCATGCCAACTCCTGCTCCCCTCCCTTAGGAGACAATAGTCACGTTATAAAGTCAGGCAGTATCAAATTAAGGTTTGTTTTACCTTGTAACAACTCCCCTTTGTGTTTGAGATCAGAGCACTCTTAACTTCTCAGTACCTGGATTCTGCCACCACGGAGTTTAAACTCACCTTGTGGTAGTCCCCATGAGAATGGTTTGCTGTGTGTTACTTCAGGCTTCACACACACAAAAAAACAAACAAACCACCACCCACCCTGTGACTTAACCCCCAAGGCCTAGCTTTGTCTTCCTGTCCATTCAAACATTTTTCACACTGCTGAAAAGTGGCAGCTGAAAGTTAGCTGGTGATTTGGTTATGTAAAAGGCCCAGCGGTCACAATTCTGTGCAGAAACTATGACAGGGCTCTGAGATGGACAGAGGTAATTTACATTTCAAAATAAGGCTTAAACTATAACTATTATATACAAAAAATGTGGAGTTATTTAAGAAACCTGAGCTACAGTTAAGCGTTCTCCTTCCAGCCTCTAGTCAAACACATGGTGTCAGTGCCACATATGGGAGGGACCATTAACCCATAATGAGCTCAGCTTTAACTATTCACCAGGGAAGAATTGCTCATCCTCCTCCTTCAGTTTACACCTGTTGAACCACAGCAAGACATCAGTACATCTGTGCATCCTCTTTAAGGAAATGCTAGTTGCTTGCTTCACCACCACCATTTCCTACTCCCTGGGCTAGACCAGGTCAAATATTAGGGAGGGGGGGAAGAATCCATAAGCAGCAAATGCTTGCCTGTTTTTACTACAAAAAAAAAACTATACACAGTAGTTATTTTTAGTAGAGTGTGTAATTACTTAGCACCCTAGATGTGCATGGCACCTTACATTAGAGATAGGGCAGAGAATCACAGTTTGAGGAGCTTACAGTCTGAACTGAGATGAAAATGGGGAGAGTAGAAGAGGAAGAGTTAACATGTATCTGTTATCCTCCCTTGTACCCATCATGTTGCCTTCACTGTAATAAGAGTTTAAGTATCGTCTAAAGTATAAGGAAGATTAAATGCATTTAATTTAATGGGAAGGTCTTGGTTAACATATGGTAGATCAATGTTTAATGTACTCTATTTTATCAATTATGCAGCAACAAAAGTGATCACACTTATCAGTAATTCTCAGAAGGCAGAAATGCTGTAGCTGGGTTTCTTCTACTTACCTCAGCTACTTTCAGTAGGCTCAGGTTCTCTTTACACTAAGCCTGGACATTTCCCCACTAGTGTGAGCTTTCCTATACAGTACCTCTAGCCCTGGCACCACTGCAATCCCTACCCCAGTATCGAAGACTACAGAACTGCAGTGGTAAGTAATCTTAAGGGGGACATGGGGGAGTATAATGTAGACAATGAGAGAAAGTTACACACAGATACAATGGAGAACAGGACATTCAATATTAGATACAACTGATATTTTCAAAGTTGTCTCAGCTAACATCAGCACGGCTGCTTTAAGGAGAGAAATCCTTAGACTCAGATTACTCTGAAACAAAGGGAATTTTGAGATGGGACTTAGAGACGGCATTAGAAGTCTGCTTTCAGCTCTTACCTGTTTAATGATGTGGATGTAGGTAAGATCTGCATTGACAATAGCACTACTGGAGTTAAGGCTGAGCTGTAAACAACCAAAACCCCTTAATTCCCTTCTTTCAACCCTCATGGTACTATAGTGTAGGATTCCTATCTAAACGTGCACCTACTGCCCTTTACTGAGCCAAGTGATTTTCTTTTGCTCAACACTGACATTTTTGGCCTCACCTCCCAGAGCCAAAAGGAGCTGGACAGGTTAGGTCCTAGTTTTTTTTTTTTATTTAACTCAGCCCTAGGATGTAAGCTTTTTCCTCCTTTCTGTTGTCTGCAGTGCCAGAGCCCACACTAGCACTGTAGGGTTTTCTACCTCAACATTTGAGAAATTAGACTTAAAAGTGCCCCATACAGGAGAGAACCACCACATTAAAAGGGCCCAGTTACAAGGCATTTTGATTAGTGCAAGACTAGAATAAAATCTGATCCATCAGAGATTTTACATACACACATAGAAGACTAACCAGAGAAAGACTGTTCCAGCCAAAGAGTTGGAAGATAGTGTAGAACTTTGTGTGGATAGATGCGGGGGGGGGGGGGGGGAGCTTACGTGAGTGCCACAGGTCCTAGGGGGGACTCTTGTGCAAGACTGGGAATATACAGATGTGACTTGTGAAAAATGTAGTCCCCATTGGAGGGCCAAGGCCCTTCTGCACAATGGCTCCCTAGAACTACTGCAATGACAGGAGGAGGAACAGGATGAAAGGTCAGACTGCCCAGAGGACCATACCTATAACTGGAGCAGTGTTGTTCACAAGAAGAGGATACCAGCAAAACAGAAAACCGTTCTGACAAGCCATAGGAAAATAGAAACCCGGACATGAAAGAGGATGAGCTTCCCAGTGGAAGTCAAGATAGATCCCAAGTAACATTGGACCTGATGAACTTCTGGTAAGGCAGATAAAGTGCAGTGTGATCAATCACTCGGTGGTCCCAAGGGTGCACCTACGCAGGGTGGGTGGTATTAGATCACAGAAAGGACAGTTCAAGAGGCTATGCCTAGCAAAATTATTAAGAGTGGATGCAACTTGCATCTTCTTTTCAGGGGATTTAAAGCAGAGGGCCCTCCCTACCCTGAATGATTGTCAGACTAAGGGGGAGGCAGAGCAAGGATAGAGGCAGTGACCTAGGCCAACAGGGCATTAGGTGGGCAGACATCCCAGAAGCTCTAAGCAGCTCTCTTGGGAGCACATCCAAGAAGCAGATAGGATTAACTTCCTCTCCCAGTGTAGCTACAACCCAAGTCATGGCCTTTCAGGCCAAAAGAGGGGGTCACCAAAAGCCCAGAGCAACTAGTGACCAGGGAGAACAACTGGGGGAGGGGGGAAAAGAGGAGAGAAGAACTGCTGGGGCCAGGACCTACATGAGGCAGCCATGAAGAATAGTGATCCACAAGGGAGCTAGGAAGCAGCAGCTGTAGGAGTTTGGCCTCAGACCGGAGCCTGGGCTCCAGGATTCTCACCCCTCACATCCTGATTGCCTACAGTACAATTTTATAGCTCTGTGCTCCTGCTTCAGCTGACACAGGCCAGCCATGGCTGTTTTACTGCAGCATAGCCACACCTGTGCATTTAACACCTCCCACAGCAGGCATGTGTTGGAATGTTGTACTACTACAACTTCCCCAAAATCAGTCACACCTGTTTCATCTCATTTGCATAAGTGTGCCCATTGTTTCTCACTCATTTGTGCCAGGATGAAATGGCAAGGTAGTATCGGACACTTTTTTTTTTTTTGGCAACTAGACCTTTCTTCATTTCCCCCCCCCCCCCCCCAGGAAAGGGCACCATGTAACACTTAGACAGTAAACTCACTTCAACTAAAAAATGTCAGTATTATGCAAGTTGTCCTTTGGAGAAAGACAACATATTCAGAACTAAGGCCTGGAAGTAAGTGTCTGTTTCATATAGGAAACACCTGAGGTCCATACGAAGACAAAAGGTAAATGTTTACTGTCACTGACTGGCTTCTGAAAAGCTAAGATTGAGTCCTATCACCCAACCAAAATTTTTTTTAAAAATAGAAATATTTACTTGGTAGGAAAGTGTACTTTGATAGTTACAGACCTAGCTCTTAATTTAAAAAAGAATACTAGTATCAGCATAGTGTTTCTACAGTTACCAAACTATATTGTGCATGTGTTTGGTGGGTTTTCCACCAAGCTAGCATTGTATTTTAAAGCACTCAAATCAAAGCAAGTTATGGAACAATCATTTATTTTTACCATTAAAAAAATATTTAATTTTCACTCAAAAGTAGTTTTCTAAATCATTTGTTCTGTTTGCACAAGGAATGAAGTCTTTGCAACAGACTGGTTTTTCAGCCTTTGCATGCACACAAAGATTTAATTTAAATTCAACAAATCAAAAATTTACCTTCAGTTGAAGGCTGCATCAGAAACTAGTGCTGCTTTGAAACACTCATTTCTGTAGCCATGTCAAAGAAAGATCAGTACCTTTAATCGTTTTGGATTTCATACTTTTTGGAAAGCAATCCAATTAGTATTTTTCCTGCAAAATATTCTACTCCATAGGTGTTACTGGATTTTGCAATCTTGTTTTCCCAGACAGACAATGAATGACTACGACCAGAAACATTTAAATGATTACTCATGCCACCATGACAAAAATAGTTAAAAATGTAAATTAAAGACAAATACAAAGAAACACTGAAAGTCCATGGAAAGCTCTGGGGGGGGGGGGGGAAAAACTGAAAGAAAAAAAAAAAGGGGGGGGCAGCAGAATTGGCTAAGTACTGTTACTCTTCAGAGTGGATCCAAGTTTGCTGCCGAGTCTTCACGATATCTTTGTTTGTGGCATAAGAATCACTTTCACAGTAGTTAAGTGTTACAATCTGAAGCAACAACGATACTCTTCATTCAAATCACCTTGTAAAAAGTTGCATTTAGAAGTCAATCGTTTTCCAATGGTTTCCATGGAGTTATCAGCTGCTCCTCCAGAAGAGAGGGAGGAAGAAAAAAAAACAAAAAACAAAAAAACCCAAAACAAACAAACAAAAAAAAAAACAACCTAGAGCCGGTGAATAAATATTACAAAAATAAATTACATCTTCTCTCCCCAAAGTCTAACTAAAAATCTACATTCACGTCTAAATACTCACTACATCTGTCGCAGGTTTGTATCCAAACATCCAAGACATAAATTACCTGTGTATCAGGCATTCAGACACTGCATTTAACAACGCAAGAGTCAGTACCACCATGCAAGATCTAGCTTTTCAGATAACCTGAGTAAATAATCTCCATCACTTTACAGTGTGTGTGTGTCACTTTTCGCTATTCCGCTTCGGCAGCGAAGACCAACACTAGACTCTGTGCTTTTATACCCATCCACCCTTCATAAAATACAGCAGCTGCTCTCTTTAAAGAAATTCTTAATAAATATATGTACACACACTTTAAAAAAAAAAAAGTGAGCACAAAAAACAGATGGTATAATGTAGAAGAAACCTACTAGTTACCGCCTTTATGAAAAGGCACATTTTGGCATTTTTAAGAATTGCCAGAAAGATTTTGTTTCAATTGGCTACAGCACATGGGGTTTTTTAAATAAAAATAAAGGAAAGCATAAGAGCTCATGTTAGTCTTCACTGGTCAAATAAGTTGATATGGAGGCTAGAGAGAGAGCTAGAAAAATATTTTTCTCGAGTTCTGACATTCCTATGAACATATAAAAGACTGGCATTATCAGCCATAGAGAAGAAATCTAAGGAAATAAAGTTCATGGTTTAAAGTTGTTCTGTCACAGTTCCTCAGTGTTCTGCGGCCTCAATTCTCTGCTGCTGATGCCGCTGCCATTCCAGATTTCATGCTCTCTCGTGTCGATGATGTTAACTCCTCAAACTCTGTGTTTAGTTTGCCGATCACCCATTCCAGGGCGTCTCGACCCTGTCAGAAAAAGACACAAATTTAGTATCAAAATGGATACAAAGCCACTTAAAATTAAAACTTCAATATCTTTCCTTTGTCAGACTTCAGAACTGCTCTAAAGGAAACTGATGTTGCATTATTTGGGGTTTTATGTTGAGGTTTCAAGTTTTTACTGAAACTTCATTAAACAGAGTGTTTGCATAACCTTCATCTTATGTGCAAAAAGTTAGTGCCATACCGAAGTGAGGTTATGGGAAGAGAGGGTCTATTACCTTCTAATTCAACAAGTCTGCTCACTGGTTACTTTAGCAATAAGGATATTTTTACCATTTGCTTTTTCTGTTAGCATAGTAAAGCCAACACTTGTACTGAGAGGAAGATAGATTCTAGTCCAGTTCATGTATCAGAATTGTTAAGAAATTTACATTTGGAGAATTTTTGATTATTGAAGATGACAGCCAGAAAGAACCAAGCTGGACTTTCAGGTTAACTCAGCAGTTAAGGAAAACACAAACACACACAGATATTCTACTTGTCAGAACAAAATTTGATCAGAAAGTGACTGTAGGAAGGGTATCATGGAGTTCTAAGTTCACGAATGAGTCACTTTTCAGCATATAACTGGGCTAAGTTTTTAAAACTGCAACTAAATTTTCTGTCACCCTGCCCTGTTCCTCCCTACTCCTAGAATATTTTAAGAAGGCCTCAGAGAAAACAAAGTGCTGTGACTAAGTGCAATTAAACTTAAATATAAGTGTGCAGCTCCTTTATTTTAATTGGCCACATAGAATGTGCACTGCCCAGTTTTGTGAGTTCATGTAAGAGACTTATTTGACATGCTTATCTTGGTGGACTCTAGTGAGTCTCACACCCTTACTGAAGATTAGCTTTAAAATGAGAAATTTCTAGCCTAGAGTTAGGTACAACTTTTATTTCCTTAATCAAAAGTACTGGAGTGTAGGGCTTTAAAATTCCATTTACCCAGGGTGAGTAATAGTTTTGCCCAGGTAAACAGGCTGAGTGAGGCCAGGGAGACACTGGCCTCTGTCTGACGGGGAGAGGAAAGGAAGGCCACAAAACCTCTCAAGCACTACTGCTTTAACAGGAATGGTTGATGCAATTAGCAGAGTGCCCAGGTGGAGAGAGGAATATTTGGTAGGTGCAGGGGCTCAGGGCCGGTGCAAGGAAGTTTCGCGCCCTAGGCGAAACTTCCACCTTGCACCCCCTCCCCCCAGCCCTGCAGCAGCCCCCCCCCCGCCCTGAGGCGCCCCCCTGCGGCAGCTCCCCCCCCCAGGGATCCGTGCGGCAGCTACCCACCCCAGCTCACCTCTGCTCCGCCTCCTCCCCCAGCACGCCACCCCCGCTCTAATTCTCCTCCCCTCCCAGGCTTGCAGCGCCAAACAGCTGATTGGCACTGCAAGCCTAGGAGGCGGGAGAAGTGGAGCGGCGACCGCGTGCTCGGGGAGGGGGCGTAGGAACGCTGTTAAAAAAAAAAAAAAAATTGGGGGCACCGCTTTTTGGTGCCCCCCAAATCTTGGCGCTGTAGGCAACTGCCTAGTTTGCCTAACTGGTAGCACCGGCCCTGCAGGGGCTCAGGCATTTCCTTAAGAGCAAGAGGGGTGAGGGCAGCACCCTGTAAAGTTGAGGGACTGGGGTAGAAGTGATTAGGGAGATGGAATTTAATTTATTTGGGTGGCAGAACAGACCAAGGGAGCGGTTATTATTTAAGAGGACAGAAGAAGTGATTTTTTCCAGGGGAGTTAAGATATGTGGGCACAGGTACTTTCCCACCTGGCATATTAGGCTTAGTCTTCAAGCAAGTGTCAGAAGCTTTTCAAGTCCCCTTGGAGAGAAGTAAAAATCAAGCTCACTGTAACCTCTTACATCCTTACTACCACAAAAAGCATCCTCTAGAACAGGGGTCGGCAACCTGTCATAAGTGCTGTGCCGAGTCTTCATTTATTCACTCTAATTTAAGGTTTTGTGTGCCAGTAAGACATTTTAATGTTTTTAGAAGGTCTCTTTCTATAAGTCTATAATATATAACTAAACTATTGTTGTATGTAAAGTAAATAAGGTTTTTTAAATGTTTAAGAAGCTTCATTTAAAATTAAATTAAAATGCAGAGCGCCCCAGACCAGTGGCCAGGACCCTGCTTCAACAGTGCAGAATACAGGAGGGCACCCAAATGAGCAGATATCAGATGTCAGGATTCCTCAGAACAATATTTCAGTAAGAACTGAACTCGTGACACAGGCAGCTCAGCAAGAAGCACCAGAATGTATGCTATGTGATTGAGTCGTTATGTCATTAGCTTTACAAATCGCAATGCATGCAAACAAGTTGAATAGCTGGGGGAACCTTACTGTTGCAGGAACAAAGAGGGTGTTACCCCTTAAGAGAGAGCACTGTATATTTGCTATAGGATATTTTAAAAGTCCCTATGCCTCTGTCTCCTCTTCCCTAACCAGAGGGAACTAGAGTGGATGCATATTCAAATAACCGGTCAGTCTTTTTCAAGTTAAGAAAAATAAAAGATTGCACAAGCTTATGATGTTATTTCGATTTAGCCACATTGAAAGAAAATTGATTGTGAAATAGAAAGAGTCATCTTCAATCAACAGGAAGGAACATGCCAAGTTTAGAAATAAAGCCCTTGGATAACAAAGTGCTATATTGAGTTATTTATGTTTATGTTACGGTTAGCAGTCAGTGTTCACCAGGAACTGCCCACACACTAGTAGACAGTCCCCATCCTGAAAAGATTTTAAAGTATTAAAAACAGAAACCAACAGAATCAAAAATTCTCATTCCTGAGCCAAGACCAAGCATGAGAAATTTCAGTTCCTACAAAAATTAGTGGCTCTGAAGTTAGCATTTCTAGTGAGTGCCACCAACACGTTCAAGGGACATCAACTTGCATATTTTTGGTTTGGCTAATTAAAACTGAATTTATTTTAGTCAGAGCAACCCTTATGTCTTCTTAAAAGTTGTCTTTTTCCCCCTGCTTCCCTGCTGATATCTAGTAGCCCCAAGGGCCATACCAAACTCCCCACTCTCCTCCTCCCCACCAGCCAGTTTCCCCTCTGTGCACACAGTTGCCAACTTCAGTTTGTTTTGCTGGTACTATTGCTGGCAAACTCTCTCTTGCAGGATATACGGAAGCATGCATGTGAGCTACAACAGAGCAGTGCAGGTTGCTACATGCAACAGGAAATAAATGCACAACAAAATAGTGAAACTGTTTTTCCCCCTGTCATAACTATAAAGGGAAGGGTGGCAGCTCTCCTGTGTACTGTGCTATGGAATCCCTCCTGGCCAGAGACTCCAAATCCTTTTACCTGTAAAGGGTTAAGAAGCTCGGGTAACCTGGCTGACACCTGACCCGAAGGACCAATAAGGGGACAAGATACTTTCAAATCTTGGGGGGGGGGGAAAAAAGGCTTTTGTGTGTGCTCTTTGTTTTAAGGGGTGGTTCGCTCTTGGGACTGAGAGGGACCAGACATCAATCCAGGTTCTCCCCATCTTTCTAAACAAGTCTCTCCTATTTCAAACTTGTAAGTAAAAAGCCAGGCAAGGCGTCTTAGATTTACTTTGTTTTCTCAACTTGTAATGTACCTTTTACTAGAGTGTTTATCTTTGTTTGCTGTACTTTGAACCTAAGACAGAGGGGGGTCCTCTGAGCTCTTTAAGTTTGATTACCCTGTAAAGCTATTTTCCATACTGATTTTACAGAGATGATTTTTACCTTTTTCCTTTAATTAAAAGCCTTCTTTTTTAAGAACCAGATTGATTTCTCCTTGTTTTAAGATCCAAGGGGGTTTGGATCTGTATTCACCAGGAGTTGGTGAAAGGAGGGTGGGAGGAAGGAGGGGGGATGGTTAATTTCTTCTTGTTTTAAGATCCAAGGGGGTTTGGATCTGTGTTCACCAGGGAATTGGTGAAAGGTTTCTCAAGGCTTCCCAGGGAGGGAATTCTTAAGATGGTGGCAGCGGGCCAGAGCTAAGCTGGTAGTTAAGCTTAGGAGTCCTCATGCAGGCCCCTACATTTGTACCCTAAAGTTCAAAGTGGGGATACAGCCTTGACACCCCCCCTCTAATCTCTGTGAATATGACAGTTCAGTCAAACAAACCACATAGAAATAACCCCAGGTATAAGCTTTTCAATTTGAAAAGCTATTTTTCAAGTTATTGTCCTTTTAGTTACAGGGACACTAATGTACAAAGCACTGAAAGAAAACAAGTAACATTTAAACACTAAGAACGTTTAAGTCTGATCATATAGAGAGTAGACTTTTACTAGCCAAAAAGTTAGCCAGCATCTTTTGGGCGGGACTCAGATCCACAGAATTCCTTCCAAGGGTTATAACCAGTCAATCATCCAAAGTACGTTTGTTGGTTTTCCAAAACAAATAAAATCAGTGAGGTATTTTCTTGCAGCTCTGGAAAAACTGCTTAAATCCATATAACTTAAGCATCAATGCACCATGCTGACAGAGTAAATTTCAGAACAATTCTCCAGTGCAATCTAAGTTAATAAAGCTTCACCTCTACAATTTCTTTTAAAATTAAGGACCTGGGCAGTTCTACTCAGTAAAAGGAAAACAGAATCTGACAGAGGACTGGAGTTGTTTGATATATATTATCTGTGTAATATATATAGTATTTAATACAATGTTATTTAAGTCCTACATTATATAAGACTTAAGCAAGCACATTCATAACCAAGCATGCACATTACATATATTAGCACTACATTATGCTTTCAATATTAGGTCAAATACTAGTATAAAGATTTATTACATCTTGGATAATTGATAGCAAACTGATTCCTCCAGTTGAAGTTTTTTGGAGAAGACAAAGCTTAATGGTTTGTCCAACTCAAGAATTTAGTGAAATGAAAAGTAAACTTGAAAGCACACAGCCAGCATTTGCCGAATTTATACGTCATATACACACACATCCCAAAATAAAATTATAAAGGAATGAAGGAGAAGAGTTATGAAAAAAGGTTTTAGGATTTTATCATTGGAAGTTTGTGGTTTCAATACAGGAATGACAGAGTTGAGCTAGGCTAGCTAATGGAAGGCAAGGTGGAGAGCACCATTTACTGTCCAGCATAAAAGTAACTATGAAAACTGTAACCACTCCTTTCAGCCCTGAAGTTGGAATATGAAAGAAAGCAGCACTTCCAACCATGAACAAACTGAAATGCATCTGAAAGTTAAATTTTAAATAATCATGTTGCTTAAAGAAGGTCATTCATTTGTAACAGCAGCAAGTCAGGAAAGCAATTTAAGATGCTAAATGAGATCTTATTGCAACTATACCAATTCATCAGAGTGAAATATGTTCAGCTTCCACCTAAATTTTAAAACACCAACAGAACCTCACGCCCCCCGCCCCCCAATCCCATCTACCTCTTAAAAAAGTCTAATGAAAAGGAGACCAGATCAATTCCTGCCAGGGAAGACAAAGCAAGTAGAGATAACTCTGTGCTGAAGACTATGTTTGTTAGGCACCTGTTTTGAGAAAACCAATCCTGAACACATTAAGTGCAATTCTGCTCTAATTTTATAAGGCTGATTCCATTAACCAAGCATTTTTTTTGGTTAATTTCTTTAGATAAAACTGTTCTTATGTAGTCAAATGTAACTGACCAAGCTGGCGTGGGTCCCTATTAAAGAGGGACACATTCACATGCCTAGGTACCTGCAGTAACCTATCATTTGCATGTATAAGAAGCAATACTATGGTACAAAAGCACTGCAGTACATGTAGGAATAACTAAGGTCTGCCTTTCCACTGATATAGTGGATTTGGGCTACTTGACCCATTCCAGGTCGCAATGAAAAAAAAGAAACCATATGATTCTAGTATTATGAGAACAAGTTTGCCATTCCTGAATGTAACTGTGATTATATATTAAAATACATGCAAGCTAATGTACATATATATAAAAATCACATCACAACAGTCCATGCACACATTTGCTAGAAAGCTGAAATGCTGTACCGAGATAGTGAATGCCGGAGTTACCACTAGTTAGTACAAACTGCAGATGTAGAGAGACTGCTAGCTTAGAGCGCTTTCAGAATTTTGAATTATCCACTCAATAGCATCCCACCCCTGGAGTAACACAGAAAAGATTAACACATGGCACAAAATTCATCTTTCATCATTGTAGTATTCAGGCATCAGGCCTGCAATCTCAAACCCTCAAAGCAAAACTCAACATTTACGTCAGAATTTCAAGATACAGCAGGAAACACTTTCCAGCAAAGCTTTTGCCATGTCTAAGCAGACTTCTGAAAGCACAGAAACTCAGTCTTGTGCTTCTGCAGTCACCACTTCCTTCAAAGTAGATCTGCTTGTTAGTAATGAGAGGGCTGGAAACACAAATTCCTGCCAAGTTAAGCATCTCTGAATGGACTTAGCTGCCTTAGAAAGGACAAGAAGGTACTGTTCCACCATTTGACACTTGGCTACGAAGATGTTTAAGTGTTATATGGAAGGAGCCCTTTTCTAATTTGGCTTTCTATATATGTCGGACATTTTCTAAGTGGGCTGTTGGCAAACCAAAGATTTAACCGCAGTTATGAGTGCCAGAGGATGGTGAGATCACAGCATGTACCCCATTACTCTAAGTGGAATTAGAGGAGAGAATTGTAAAAAATTTAAGTGGAGAGACGTTTATGGCCACCAAACTAAAATACAATCTACACCCTCGAAATTCAACTAGCCACTTTTTCTCCCTCTCCCCAAACCCTGCAGTTCATCCACTTAACCCCCAACCTTAGCACACTTTATTTCTGCCAGTCTATCCCCTCACACACCTTTACTATTTCCTCAGGGAAGTGCACTGCAGGCATGAAGCGAAAATTCAGATTCCCTCCTCTTCCCACCCCCCACGATAGCCTTCTGGCCAAGAAGGCTGAATGTTCATCAATCTAATACTGGACATAAAGTGACAGAAGCAGCATCGCTGCCTAAGGATATCCTACTTCCAGGGGAAAGGGGCTGGCCAAGGCACATACTACCTGGGATGGCATCGGGAAGTAAGACTGGACCTGAACTGCCACTACCCAAGCAGGTCAGCTCCCACTTCTATTTGTGCACCACATCCCACTCACCCTCACATCTGTCTCACTGCTCCCTCTGTCACTGTTTGTCCCTCCCATCCTTACGCCTGACCCGTGCTCTGTCACACCATATTCATTTCAATCTGCTGCACTAGCATCTCTAGAGGAAGAGGAGAGGTACAGGTATGATCCTCCATTGATTTCTAGTAGTGAGAGAGCAAGACAGAGTGCCCCCAACAGTAGCAAATAACCACTCTACCTGGAGCGTCTGAGCATGACGTTGGGATGAACAGAGCTCTTTTTCTATGCCTTGCAGATTAACACAAATTGGGGAATTTACTTACAACTGAGAGTATACAAGTTGGCCTAGGTTCCTCCCCTTCTCATCGAAAACATCAGGTAATTTAATCTCTGTGCAGAACTGCTTGTATAAAACTAAGCTGGATGATTTCCGGTCAAGAATTCGAACAAATGAGATTGTGCTGAGCACAAAGTCTGCAATCAGTGTGAGCAGTGTTGGATTTTGTGAATTAATTTTCCATTCAGTCTTTACAGACATCTTTGCTGGTAGCCTTTTTAACCATTTGAACTGTGGCACCTTAAAGACGAACAGATTTATTTGGGAACAAGCTTTCGTGGGTTAAAAAAACCTCACTTCTTCAGATGCATCTAAAGTGAGGTTTTTTACCCATGAAAGCTTATGCCCAAATAAATCTGTTAGTCTTTAAGGTGCCACCGGACTCCTTGTTGTTTTTGTGGATACAGACTAACATGGCTACACCCTGACATTTGAACTGTGACATGAGTGTTTAAGAGCTGCTTGGGTAACAGTCTCTAACAATGGGAACATTACAGACAGGTTAGCCTGCATTTAAAAACTAATGAACAAGTACTGCATTTCTTGCTTCTGGTGACATTTACAGGAACAACAAGAATTTAATGGTTAAAAATAAAAGTTGTACACACTTAGGGTCCAATCCTGCAGGTTTGAGCCTTAAGCACGGTATTCAGCAGAACAAGTGCCCAAGAATTATTGCCACAAAAGCATACCTTTCTAGCATTGGAGGATATTGTGTTGGCCATTAAACTTTCCAAATAACTACTCAGGCTAACACCTTTTACAGTAATAATTGCTTCTTGAGTTAGCACAGTCCTGCAATGAAAGAAATAAAAAAGCTTATTGGTACAGAAAAGGAGCAATATACCCTCTCTCACAGACAGACCCCCGACCCCAACTTACTTTTCTGGGTTTTCAGGATGAGGCGTGTAGACCAATCTCTCATCAACTGACACCAAATTTGTGAGAGTAATCTTAAAAACAAAACACACACAAATCCTCAGTGTTTCTCCTCTTTGCTGTTTCCTCTTTCAACAATTCAGTGGCACCAACTGGTGCTTCATTATCCTTAACAGCAGAAAACAGGACAGTTACTGTACTTTGTAACAGCACAATTATAATTGTCAATAATAATTGAGAGGTGGTTTGTCTTCTCCTATTGCAAATCCAGTTACAGCTAAGTAACCTTTGCCTTTCACTAGGTCTCTCTACATTCCATGTTGTTTGACACAATTTAGGTAGCTTTCCAGTAACATTTCTGAATGTTGAACCAAGTCTGAACTTCAGTATGTTTGCAATGGCAAGCTTTTTAATCCAGGCTCTTGAGGAAAATAAGCAGCCTTACCAATCACACACAAAACATGTACTTAGGAAAGTCCCTAAGCCTACATTTACTGTACAAAGACAAGACTCTTACTGAAATCATAGATTTAAAACTCGATAAATTTGAAGGACATTAGAATACAACATAACAGTTTGCAAATTTCAACAAGATTAAATATTTGCAATATAGTTCTAAATTTATTTCTGCTGCTGTTTAGGGAAATAATTTCTTTGGCCAGCATGTTTTATTCTCTAAGTTTGTCATTTCTGCTTTCTCAGAAGATGGTTTCACCTGATGTCAAAGTTACACCCATACAAATATTTTATACTGCCTACATATTTAAAGTTGCCTACTCATGCAAAGAAGCAGCCAACAGCAACTGAAAAAGGAAATGTTATTTAAAAATTTGGCAACCCAGAAAAGCTTCACATTGAAAATGCCGGTCTTTGTTTGACAGCCGTGAGTGCATTGTACATTTCTAAAAGCAAAGCTTCCTTTTGTATTGCAAATAAGCAGGCGGTTGTTCTATTCCCCTACAGCCATTACCAAAAGCTTCCTGACCTCACTTAGTCACTTACATTGGTGGAGCAGAGTTCCATTTTCTTTTCTACTGGATCTACCACCGAATGTTCTTTAATATATGTCAAAGTCCTACTTGTTCCCAAAATCTAGAAGACAAAACATTCTATTTAAATATTCAACATGACATCAGAGCAAATTACAAAAGGTTTTCTGTGTTCTAAATTACTACTTTTACATATTTATGTTGTGGTTGTACATAAACACCCTGATCAGGATCAAGACCTCAACATGCTGAGTGCTAGGCAATCATACAAAGTGACATAGTCCCTGCCTGGAAAATACTACAATCGAAATTTGATTAACATTTCAGGAAACACTGCAGTGCATTCATGGCAAGAGATGTGCTGCTATATTATTACACTTTCCCTACGATTTCTGGAAAAGGCATTTCCTATAAATTCAGAGTTGAGATCCCAGAGGATGAAGTGTTTAAATGCATTACATCATCAGTTACTCATTCAACTTATTAAAACATACCGCTTTTACAATACTTGGTAGTCCCCACTCTGTGCTGAGAAGTCGGTGACTATGTAACCTTCCCTGGTTATCAAGGCTTCTGTCGATCACATCTACTCCTACCACACATGGATTCATGGGATTGGGGTATTTTCTCATAGCAGCTTTGATAACTGTATCCCATGGGTGTCTAGGGAAAAAAAGACAGTATTTATACATTTCATTAACAATATTCATCTAAGATCGAATGAGTGGTGCAGACTTATCTGGGGTATTGGGTGAAGTACTGGTCACCTCGCGCCTCAAAAACAAATATCGCTGAATTAGAGGGGGGCTCAGAAGGTCTATTAAAATAGTTAGGGGCGTGGAAGAATTTTTACATGGAAAGATTAAAAAGACAGATTGTCATGTCTCCTCTTATTTGTTTACCTGGAAGGGAAACAAAGGTACATAAAATGAGGAAGTTATAGTGAAGATAGACAGGAAAAACAGAAGCTCCTGATCTAACGAAAACAAGGTGACATTTACTGAAGTTAAAAAATGGCAAATTCAAAACAATTAATAGGAAATACTTTTCCATGCAACATGTAAACGAACAGTAGAACTCACTACCAAAGGACACGGAGGCAAAAAGGAATAATAAATATCTAGGTAATGCTAACAAATTTTGGAAGCAATATTAAGCCTCATGTTTCAGGATTTAAACCAATCTCTAACTATTTGGGATTAGAGGAAACCTAGTACATGGGGCAGATCATCCCACATGCACCTACTGTGTGGTTTTGGCACCTTCTCTGAAGTATCTGGTGCTGGCCACAGTCAGATACAAGAGAGACAAGACTGGACTAGATGGACCATGGGCTTGATCCAGTATGGAAATTCTTCTGTTCTTAAACAATACTGACAGTGTTGAAAGAATACCTGATAGTTTGTGTAAGTGTACTTTGTATTGCATACATATTATACATGATCAACCTGTTCCAAAGTGATTATTGATTGTCTAACTTGAGAGCTATT